TCATAGATATCCTCAATGCCAACTTCATTCAGATTATCTGCATTTGAGCTGCTCCAGCTGCTGGTGTTCGTCGTGTTCGTGTTCGTCCGTTTCCTCCTCTGCATCAGTTGGTTCGTTCGATTTGGCTGCCGTCGCCGTCGTCGTCGTCGCCGTCGTTGGGCTACGGTACAAAAGCGGGGCTAGAACCAATGGCACCGCCTCACGCGGAAACTCCTCGCGCAGCTTATTCAAAAACTGTGCCTCCAGCTGCGGGCTCACGTACTCACTCAGGCAGCACAACAAATACTGCAAACAGATCAAAGGAGATCTCGTGCAGGACCACTCGCAGCTGCAGTTGCGGCAGCTGAATTTTGGCCCAGATATGAATCGAGCAGATCGGGCAGCGAGCCGCGCAGATTCTCACGTGCGCTCTGGCGTAGCTCCGGATGGGAGCTGTGGGTCACCGCTAGCGCAAAGATGCACTCGCAAAGTTTGTTAATGCCAGTTAAGCTTGGCCACCTGTCCAACGAGATCGGCAAGTGCTAATGGCTTCAGACTCTGTGGAAAACATGGAATAGTTATTGTTGCTGTGTTTGGATTTGTTTGGACGCACCTTATGCTTGGCAAAATGCTGGTCGAAGGCGAGGCATATGTTGGTCACAAACGAGGAGCACTGCAGTTGCCGCTGCAAGTGCGCGCCGAGAAGCTTCGCCTGCAGCTGCGCGGTGACGTTCGGTGCCGGATCGTTCAAGTTAAGTACCGTGAACAGATATCGCAGACAGCTACGATCCGCTTCGAGGCCGTAATCTTGGATAAACTGCAAACGAGGTCACAATGGACAACAAAAAAGAAATGGAAAGAGAGAGCCAGAGATGGAGAGAGAGAGAGAGAGCAGAAGTTGAAGGCGATTAATACAGAGTCGCTCAGACGATTACCTGAGCATGTTGCCTTGCCCGGGCAGCAGAAGTTAGAGATCGATAACACATGAGCAATTCATCAAAAGCGGTCACACAATTAACTGAATAATAATTGATGCAACTATTTATAATTATCTTCTTTTTCTTCGATTTTCATTGCACACTTTGAAATTTTGACAAGTCACAAAGAGAAATGTGAAGCGTAGCTAGCTCCACAACGATCACTAAATATCTGAATAAAAACCCCCCAAAAAACTACAACTAAATCCGAAAAGCCTTATTTTTTTTTTTTTGTATTTTTTTTTTTAAGGCTCTCTCATCACACACTGCAAAAACAGAAACTCAAATGTGAAACTCAATCGAGTATACGCAGAAGCGAGACAACAACAGCTGTGGCCGCGCAGTGCTCCCACAACCAAAATGCAAAACGGCAAAAAAAAAAAAATGACATACAGAGTACTCCTCGCTCAAACTTGGGAATTTTAGGGCCTACACACACACACACACACACCGCAAGGGGTGAGCATGAAGGTAAGAGGCTATATGTATGCTCATGTATTGGTGTTGGTAGTCAAATGAAAATTTTATATGCGCATTTAATATGAAAGTAATATCGCAAAATATGCAACTCCTTACCGATATCCAAATTATTGCACACTATTTGCAAATTATTGTGCACACAATATAAAATGCAAAAGGCAGGACTGTAAAGTCCGTACACTGAACTTCAAGGGCTGGCGGCAGCGCAGCTGGCAGAAAACTTTGTACGCTCTTTTTAAGTTTTTTTTTTTTGCACAATTTTTACTAGAGATATTACACTAGGTGGCACGCAACAGCGGCGTGCAATGCTTATTGTTTGTAATTAGGCTAGTTTTATACATTCTAAATAACTAGCAACTTAACAAGAAAGGCAATTTTTTACAAGAAAACTCGCGCAAGGCAGAGAAATTTTCTGCTTTTACACAAACTGTAATGGCGTCGGCGAAAATGCATGTGCGAGCGAAATGGCAATATAGCCGCTGTGCTATTAAGTTGGCAGCACTGTGTGTGTTGGCTTATGCCGATATGTGCAAAATTTGTCAACACTCATTGTAGTTTCATTGCTATTGGAATTGCTGATATTCTGTTGTTGTTGTTGTTATTATTATTTGGTTATGTATTTTAAAAACAAGGTTAAATGTGAAAACATACCTGCTTTATTTGCTCGCTGCTCTCATTAAAATTTCGCTTGTTCACGTGTTTGACCAAATTACGAATCTGCGTTAGCGGCGTCTTCAATTGGTTCTCTACGTTCATAATTCTACGTATCAAATTAGTTGGTTCTGTGTTCGGTGAGCTTTTTCTTTTCGTTTCTTTTTTATTATTATTGTTTTTTTTTTTTTTTTTTTTTTTTTTGGTTACTCTACGTTTCGCTGTTTCTAACGACTGTGCGCTTCTGGTGGGTGGTGTTGGTGTTGATAACGCCGAAATTTGTCGCAAATACTTTTCATACGTATATTATGTACCTTCACATACGCATTTACCAATACGTTTAAATTGTCTTTGTATTGGTATTTGTGCTTGACGTATTTGTTGCTTCTTCTTCAGACGTAAACGCAAATTGTGATGCGTTTTTTCGCTTTTAATATTGCGCCGCAAATATCAATATATTTAGTATATCACGTTCTTTTAAATATGTTTAAAATAAATGTTTTCCTATTTCATGGCACTTGGCTGAGGCCCCCCTTCGTAGGGGCCAGCAGCAGCTCTACATTGCTCGCATCTATTTTGACAATTTAGACAACAACAAAATTGCACAAGTCATCGAAGAGCTGTTGCTGCTATTTGGGTAACTTTTATTCCGTCCAAATTTTGCCAGCACACACGTAATGGAAATGAATGAATCGCACGTACGTACACACACGCACACACATGCACTGGGCACAAAGAAAATTGACTTTGATTCGTTAATGCAGCTAGTTTTACCCACGGTTTTGTCGCTTGAAAAAACACTGAAAATTTCCTGTGTACTGCCCAAGTTGGTTAATTAATGTCGAAATTTAAATTGTTTTTCTTTTTACGCTTAATTTGGATTAATTTAATCGCTATTCGATCGCTTTCATTTTGTTCGTGTCTGTTCCACAATTAGAGATGGACAGGAAACATCGCTGCCATGCTGCTATCGATATGGCACAGGCACGAGATAACCGCAGTGTTGCACAACTTTGCACACGAGCAAACAGCTGTTGCATATATTAATTAACGATCAATTAAGTTTAATTATTAAATGTAAACTTCAATTTTATTTCAAGTGGAGCATGCTGTTTGCAAGAATTAAGCTGCCGCTGCGCGTTAAAACCGCTCTGCACACCCTAGCAACACACTTCAATTTACCATCATGCAGTCTGCTCGTGTTGAGCCCGCTCGCACAGCCTGCGAGTGTACATAACACCGACCACTTTATGCAGCCCACACAACAGTTAAATCAAGCAATCAAGTTAAATGTGTGCAGCGCGTAGACCAATTGTCGATGCTATATTTAAACATAATGTGCTGTTGGGCCAAGTCACGTGCAGCACAGCCAGGCGCAGGCCACGCTATCTGAACACCAGCAGCCATGATACCGGAGCAGCCGTTACGTCCCGCCACGCTCTTATCAAATCCAAATTGGGGGGCCGAAAAACTGTGAGTGATTTCCAAGAGCTCTACGAAGCAACAAAAAAGAAATTTCAATGTAAGCCTTACGATTATCAGGCACTCCATTTAGACTCCACGATTAGTCTATTTAAATTCCAAGAAGATCATTAAAAAGCTCTCTCTGTGATCTTCATATTTTAGCCAAAAAGCTGCCCGTTGATGTGCATCCAGACGCTGTGTTTGCGTGCAATGAGCTCGACCTCAGCGAGGTGCAGGTGTATGGCTTCGACTATGACTATACACTCGCCTGCTACAAGCCCATATTGGAGGACTTGCTGTACAATTTGGCACGTGAAATGCTGGTCAAGCGTTTTAGATATCCGGACGACATTCTAGATCTGGAATATGAGCCGAATTTTGCTGTGCGTGGCCTGCACTACGATGTGGAGAAGGGTCTGCTCGTCAAGCTGGACTCGTTTCTGCAGCTACAGCTCGGCTCCGTCTACCGTGGACGCACCAAGGTGGACGCCGAGGAGGTCCTGAAGCTCTATCACAATCGTTTGCTGCCCATCGCCTACGTGGAGGGACCCAACAATAGCTATAGGGTGGGTATTTCATTGACTCAAGCAAAGTTGGTTTATAATCTCTCGATTTCTGTTGCCGCACAGCATAATACGAACTCGAAAATGGTGCAATTGGCGGATCTGTTCTCAGTGCCCGAAATGTGCCTGCTGTGCAATGTTATCGAATATTTTGAACGCAATCGCATCGATTACCATCCGGAGATTGTGTTCCATGACACGCGCACCGCGATGGGCTCCTGTCATCCCATAATGCATGCCACCGTCATGAAGAACACGGAAAAGTACATCGAACGCAATTCAAGACTTGTCCAATATTTTCAGAAGCTTCAGCAGGCTGGCAAGAATCTCTTTTTGGTGACCAACAGTCCCTTTTCGTTCGTGTAAGTGGCGGATCCAAGAAACATCATGTGGCTAGTCCGAATATAATATTGTTTTTTCCAATAGCAATTGCGGCATGTCCTATCTGGTGGGCGCCAATTGGCGAGATTTCTTCGATGTGGTCATTGTGCAGGCGCGGAAACCAAAATTCTTTACGGATGAATCACGGCCCATACGGCTGTACGATGAGAAAACTAGTTCGCATCTATGGGATCGCGTGTTTAAGCTGGAAAAAGGCAAAATCTATTACGAGGTAGCACAATTTCCGTGTATTTGCACAGCTGTAAAACACTTAACACAGCTGTAAAATCAATTGTTAGCAATGTAAATAATACATTAGGCAGTCGCCAGTTAATTGTTTAGCCAGAATTAGTATGATAATTAGTTTTTTTTTTATAAATATTTCTTACAGTTAGCCGCAACACACATCTGCAAGTCTTATCGAGGCGTATTACTTTTTATTATTTAAATTAAATATTAATAAAAAATACATTAGTAATAATAATTAATACATTAGGCGATCGCAAGTCTAATTATAATAGCATATAGATCTATATGGTTAGAAAAGTCAAATGATTAGTTTTTGGATGGATAACTCTTCTAGTTATCGAAGCGTATTACTTTATATTATTAATTAAGATAATAAGAAATAATGTATTAGTCATACATCATAATATATTAGTCATAAGCCTATGCATTAGCAATGATTATATAGCCAGAATCAGTCAAATGATTAGTTTTTGTGTGGATAACTCTCAGTTATCGAAGCGTATTACTTTATATTATTAATTTAGATAATAAGAAATAATGCATGAGTCATACATCATAATATATTAGTCATAAGCCTATGCATTAGTAATGATTATATAGCCAGTATCAGTAGCGAAGCGCATTACCTAATATTATATAAATTTCCCATTATTCGCAGGGCTCGGTGCGGCAGCTGCAGGAGCTGAAAGGCTGGCGCGGTCATTCGGTGCTCTACTTTGGCGATCATCCCTACAGCGATCTGGCAGATGTGACCCTAAAGCACAGCTGGCGCACGGGCGCCATCATCAGCGAGCTGGCCGTGCGTATTTATTTTTGAAATCATATTCAAATTGTGTACTCTATAAATCAATTCTCAATGTAATTGCAGCATGAGATCAAGACATTGAATCGCGTGGACTTTAAGATGAGCGCCAATTGGTTGCAGATGCTCACACAGCTGATTGAGGACACGCAGGATGAGGAGAGCGAGGCTGCGCAGGTCTGCCTGCGTGACTGGATGGAGGAGCGTGATCAATTGCGGTGGGTTTGCAGCTAAGATATAATCTAAATAGATATTATAACATATATATTTTGCATTGCAGCAACAAGACAAAGAACGTGTTCAACGAACAGTTCGGCAGCGTTTTTCGCACGTATCACAATCCCACGTACTTCTCGCGGCGTCTGTTCCGATTCGCAGACATCTACACCAGCGACATAACGAATTTGCTCAAGTTTTCGACGGCGCACACGTTCTATCCGCGACGCGGCGTCATGCCGCACGAATATGCCTCACACTTTATCTAAATCAAGGGGCATTCGATTTAAATCAGCTCTCTCGAACGTAGTCTTAGTCTTAGTTGATGCCAGAAACAAAGTGCCAGTGTTTATTGTTGTTGTTTTTAGCTTGAATCTAGAGAATTTATAATTATAAATTGTTAGCAAGTGAATTTATTATTGTCACTTGCAATGCGGCTCAATAAAATCGTTGTAATAGTTGACAAATATCCGTCGCGTTTCGCCGGCCAGATAATCGAGCTTGGCCCGCATCTTGGCCAGCCTCTGCTTGCTGCACTTGTATTTGCCCCAGGCAATCAGATCGAACAGGCAGCCCATTATGGGTATGTACTCAACCGCGTTGCTGCCAATCTGCGCCTCAGTTCCCGCCAGCACGTATTCCATAATGCGCCCCAAATGGCCAAATTCTGTGTCCTCGAACGGATGTCCGGCTGTCGGGAAAGCGAGAGGATTATAATAAATCACAAACTCTCGCAAGGTAGCAAGGGCGATACGACGACCTGGATAACCAGGAGAGTCCACATGCTGCTTGTGTTCCACTCACCTGCTTTGGCTGTTAGGCAGGCCAGGATTAGCTTTTTGGCCAAGCATTGCCTGAGACTATGATAGTCGAGCAGCCAATTTCTGAGATAATCGAGCACTTTGTACGCCTCGTGACGCGCATTCGGTTTATCACAGCATGCGCATAACACTAGAAATTCCTCATGCCAGCTGAAATCTTGGGGCGCCTGACATACTGTGCAGCAAATTTGTGGCGGTTCGGGCTCCTGCCACCAGCTGAGCTCCGCCAGCTGGGCAGGCACAAAGATCTGCTCGCAGTGTTGGCAGCGATAGCGATGAAAAGCAAACTTCGAGAGTAGGGAAAACAAATGAGATGAGATGCCAAAAATAGAGCGTAGCTGTGATAGGTTAACCCACGTAATCCTGATCAGGCTCGGCACGGACACACTTGCTGCAGCTACACTGAAAGTTGAAGGTCTGCTCCAGCTGCTCCTTGCGTTTGGCAAAGCTGGACATCTTGTAGTTCAAGGTGTAGCAATTGAAGATCTCCTCGCCGGGCTCAATGTTCCGCGCCGCATAGCTGCTCACCGAACGGCCATCGTACCAGCTGCGCAGGCTGGGCTCACAGGCATGATTGCACAGGCCATAGTACGGCAAATTGAGAGACTTGACAAGTGTTGTCCTGTCGAACTTGTGCAGGCAGCCCAAGCGCAGACGGAATGGTGCGCGCCAGAGCTGCGGCCGGAGCAGCACAAACTCATTGAAGCCCAGATCGCGGGGCAGAATGGCATCGCCCACATGGGCATTGTTCAGCAATTGATTGTTGGTGCGCGCTATCAGCGCGGCCAGCAGCAAATGCCAATCCTCGGCCGAGGCAGCTGTGCTGGCGAGCAGCTGATCATAGAAATTGGTGCACTTATACAGATAAACCTGCAATTGGTTGGCGGAGAGCACGCAATATATCAGCTTCGAGGCGTCCGCCTTGTCCAGATGATGCATCATGCACAGGGACTGCGTATGCTGCGGTGCAGTTGGCCAATGGTGCTCGGCGGAGGCGATGGATATCAGAGTTTGCCACAGTTCTGCCGCTGTCGAGCCGCCGTTGCGAAGCTGCGGCAGCCACTGCGGCATATAGGTGAGCACCAGGCGCAGAGCCAAATGAAAAGGTCCAATCGGGAGCAGCAAATCCCTGCGATACGCCTCACACTCGTAGCCGTGGATGGTCGCGTGCAGCTGGCGACAGCGGCGCGAACAGTAGACCACGCGCTGATGGCACCGCGTACAGGGTATGGGGGCGCACAGCAGACTCGCAGCGCACTGCTGGCAAATCAGACGACCCTGGGTCGGTACAAAGCATTCGGCCTGTTCCGTGAATACAATCTCGCCCTCCTTAATACGCTGCGAGGCAATCATGTAGCGTCCCCTGCCGCCTGCGTCCGTTGAGCTGCAATTTGGCATAAGGTTAGTGGGTTAATGGGATTAATGGCACAAAAATCCAAAATTTACATTTCAGTATTGTTTCGCTTCACTTCGTCCAGCTTCGCTTCCTTCACTTCCTCCGCTTGCGGATTGCTTTGCAGCAGTTGCAGCTCCTGCTGCAGCTGCTCCAATTGCTGGGTAAAGCTGGCATTTAGCTCCAGCTGCTCCAGGCAGGCTACGTGCTCGCCCAGCTTCTGGGCATCGCCCAGCTTCCAGGCACAATAGGCCTGCCGCATGATCAGCTTATGCTGCATATTCTTGGGATACCCAAACTCCAGGGCACACTCGCAATCATCATAGGCCTGCTCGTAATAGCCAAAGTCCTGCAGTGCCATGGCGCGATTGGCGAAGCCCAAGCACAGCTCCTCGTAGGCATTCTCCGCCTCGAGAATAGCCTGCGTATAGAGGCGACTGGCACTGAGCAGACACTCCGTCAAGTCGTTGCCACTTTTTTTGGACTTAGTTTTGTAGACCTGGTTGCCCTGCTCCCGCAGCGAGCGCGAGTGCTTGGCGCGACTGGCTACATTGGTGGGCTCGTCCAGATCCTGCAGCACGAATTCGGTCAGTTCCTTAAAACGTCGAAGTTTCGCTGCAGGCATTGTGTGCCAAACTTTGATTATTTCCAGTTCGTTTTTGTAAGGTTCATTAAATGCAAATAACTCATATTGTTCAACGAAAACTTTTGCCAAAGCAAACATAATTCTAATTTTTTGGATATTACGTTACTGTTTAAGAGGAATATTGGCCTGTTCGTGGAAGACAGGTCGCCAATGTCCGAAACTAAGTTTCTTCACTTTTTTATATTGCGAGGCTGGAGATGTAAGCTCGCTGTATCGATAAGTATCGATATCGATATATCGATTGAGGCTATATTAAACAGTCCCAAGAGCTGCAGCGGCTGCTGGAGATGCTGTCTGTCATTATTTTATGTTCTCTTAAGCATTAAGCAAACTCTCGGCAAAACGCCTCTGTCCACAGATCGTAACTCTACAAATGCAAGAGCCGACTGCATACATTATTTGTAACGGCTGCAATTGTTATTGCCGGCTATTAACATTGGCCAGTGCTGCCTATCAACAGTTGCCAACTATCGATATACTTACCACAACAAACAGCTGTTCTACCTATGTTATTGCGCTGTTATCGGTAATTTAGATTTTTTCCAAAACAAAAACGAAAATTAATCACAATTTAAAAGTAAGATAAATTTAAACAATGGATTTGCAACAATTGGAAGAGGAGGCGCACCAAGCAGCGCTCAAGGACATACAAAACATGCTGCAGCGTCCCGGGCAGCTGGAAAAAGTGGAGCAGTATCGTCATCGAATCGCACGGAAAAAAGCATCCGTGGAGGCGTTGCTGAAGACGGGCATGCAGAACCAGCTAGAGGGCGTGCGTGTCGGCCTGAAGCAGCTGGTGACGTGCATGCAGGATGTGCGCGAGGTGCGTCGTCGCATGGTCGAGGTGGAGCGTCTGCTAGTGGGCGTGCCCGAGATTTACGATGCGCTCGAGGTGGTGCGCGAGGAGAACACGAAGCACTCGCAATACGCAACGGCCATGGAGAACCTCAAGCACATTTTCAATGTGGATGCCAGCGTCCAGAAAACAATGGCCCTGATCGACGAGGACAAGCTGCTGAATGCGCATCAGTGCCTGGCGGATCTGGAGAACTCGCGCGATGATCTGCTCTACGAGCTGCACAAACAGCCGAAACAGCATGCCTCCGACAAGATAACGCTCAAGCGGCACTTCGAGAAGGTGGATCAGGTCTCACAGGCGCTGGAGAAGAAACTCCGCCTGATCATCAGCCGCACGCTGAACACCGTGCGCAAGAAGCCCACGGTCATTGTTACGGCGCTGCGCATCATCGAGCGCGAGGAGAAGAACGATCAGTTTGCCCTGCAGCAGCAGAAGGTCACGAATTTCCTGCCACCAGGCCGGCCAAAGGCGTGGCGCAAAATGATTATGGACGTGCTGCAGGCGGCTGTGATAACGCGCATCGAGGGCTCCAAGCTGGAGGAGCGTGCGGACAACAAGCTGTGGCTGGTGCGAGATTTAGAGATATTGCGTCAAATCATCCTGGAGGACTTGCGTGTGGTCAAGTCGCTGTGCGTGCCCTGCTTCCCGCCGCACTACGACATCTTCAACGAGTATGTCCGCTTCTACCACGAGGGCCTCTCCAGCTACGTGAGTAACGTGCTCCACTTTCTTCCACTTTAGCTTAACTTAACCTTTTTGCCTTCCACCTGCAGCTGGACAACATTGTGAAGTCGGGCCTGCAGGGTAACGAGTATGTCTCGATGCTGGCCTGGGTTATGCACACGTATCCCGGCGCCGATCTGATGTCCCATGCGGATCTTAATGTGGATGTGCTGAAGCTCTCGCGGCCACTGCTCCATCCGGAGCATCTGAAATCTCTGGAGGATGAGTATCTGCAGAATATGGAGCGCAACTATCAGGATTGGATGAAGAAGACCGTCGACTCGGAGAAGCAGGAGTGGTACTCCGAAATGCTGCCCGATCAGCGGGATCATTATTACAACAGTGCGGGCCCTGTGATCATATTCGAGATGATCGATCAGCATCTGCAGGTGACCAATACCATACACCAGGAGCTCACGTTTAAGGCTCTGGTGCTCAGCATACAGCAGGTGGAGCTGTTTGGCCAAACGTATCTGAAGAACGTGATCGAGCTGAAGGAGCATCATTTTCGCAATCGCGACCAGATCAAATACTTTACGCATTATATCATAACCATTGTGAACAATAGCCAGAACGTGGTCGAGATGGCGCAACAGATGAAGCATCTGTTCTGGCCCAAATCCCGCACGGAACACTATGAGGACTTTGAGAAACTGTTGGCCACATTCCAGCGCATACGCGCACATGCCGCCAACTATTTGCTGGAGGAGGCCTTCCTGGACATGGAATGCCATTTCAATGATCTATTCACGGTCAAGTGGCTCGGCAGCAGCATTGCCGTGGACACGATCTGTGTGACATTGGACGATTACTTCCAAGACTATAATCATCTGCTGCCCGCCAACTTTGAGATGGTCATTAATGAGGCCCAGAAGCTGCTGGCCAAGCGCTACATTCGAGCGCTGCTCTCCAAGCGGCTGTCCAAGACGCGCAGCGAATGCGATGCGATTACGCGCAAAATCAATCTGGAGGCGAAGCGCATTAAACAGTTCTTTGAGAAGATTGCGCCCAAGATCTCGCTCAGCGATTCGCCGTTGGATTTGATAACCACGCTGTCGGCGCTCCTTGTCGCGGATATTGAATTGCTTGCGCTGGATTTGCATACGCTGCTGGGCAGCTATCCGTCGTTGAGCGAGGATCATCTGGTGCGTCTCTTCTACATACGCAACGATGTGAAGGCGGCCGAGGTGCGCGAGAAGGTGCAGGATGCGATGAAATCCAAGAAGGCCATGGTCAGCATTGCCAAACAGGATTGCATCTTCAAGGAGATCGTGTTCAGCGACAAGCTGTGGTAAAACAACAGCAAGAGCTACTTCTAAACATCTGCAACGTATACTCAGTATAAGACATTCTACTTATAAAACTAACCAACACCTCCCCCCCCCCTCACACATACACACACACACACACGCACTCACAGCGCAACAGCTCATTCATACGCCGGTCAGCTGTCGCGTGCCTTGGCGCGCTCTCGCTGGGAGCTTTCGTACGGTGAAAGCTCTCAGCATATGCAGAGGCGTAGCTGAAACTTTGGCCAGCCATGTGTAGCTTGGGTGGGGCGACATGGTACGCCACTGGCGCAGCATAAGTATTGTAGAGCAGCACGTTTCCATATGATTTTCAGTTTTGTTTGTGTCTGTGTCCACGGCAGACCGCAGCAGTAGCAACAATATTTTATAATCGTATTTATGTGTGTTTAAAGTGCAGTGAATTAATAATATTAATATTATCATAATCAATAGTAATAAAATAAACGAAAAACAATTATTTTCGGTAAGTGAGACAAGGCTAGCAGAGCACAGGGAGTGGAGTTAGGGGAGCTTTTTGTGCCGCTACATATATACATACATGCAGAACCATGCGTATGCCTGTGTGTGTATATATGTATGTGTATGTACATATGTGCAAAATGTGTGCAGTGCTGTGTTTTTTTTTATAATTTTATGCACTGCGCTTGAACCTTGAAAAGTGTTTGGTCACTGTCAAATATTACAAATAAAATCAATGCTACGTTCTCTTTCTGGCAACCGGAGCCATCCATTGCATGTGCAGTAAGTGGGCATTGTATAAGCGTGCCGCTGGGGTTGCCAGCTAGAAAACTGGCTGGTCCAGGCTGGCCAAGCAAATTGCATAGCTAAGAAATTGCCTGTGTACCGTTTATCCACTGAACACTCGTCCCACTCTATTGGCTATTAATAAATGCAGGCTGAACTCTTTGTGTGCGTGTATCGGTCCGTTTGTCTATCTGTGTGATTGCGCGCGCTCTCTTTCTCACTTTAAGCGAGTTCCGTTATCAGAGCTTGACGCAGTGCGCGCGTTTCTTCTTATCAGCAAACACCGTTACGAATTTCGTATAAATGCAAATGTAATTTGTTTCAGCTGTTTTCTAATGCAATTTGTCACCGCGCCACCTATAGTCTGTTTTTATTTTTATTTTCGTAAGTACTTTTTCCATGTAACTAATACTATTGCAAAAGCAGCTGCATAAGCAAGTGAGCAGACGGAATTCGCGTTAAATGGCATTTGTGTCTGCGCACGTGTCTGTGCTGCAATGGTTCCCCTCGTCCCGTCCGTCCCTTCTACAGTACACGCAAGCACAGACAAAACAGAAAAACAAACCAACAACAACATACATATACAATTACCGTTATGCCGGCTATTCATTATAATTCACGCAACAGGGTATTATGGATTCGCGAGAATGTTTGTAACGCCTGTTTCACATTATTCCTAATAATGTTTTTCTCTGCTCATCACATTTGTTCATGTATTTTTACATATATGTATATATTTCGATGCCGTTAGTTGGCTTTTTGAAAATAATTTTATGCCCTTTTATTTTTAAAATCTATCCAAATTTCGTTTAATGTTTTTGTTTGGATTCCAGAAATTAATTTACAATTTCTATTGTTTGAGTACAGCTCCAAATTAATTGACAAACTTTAAGAAATTCCAAATTTTAAATGTTTTTGAAGATTTACTAACGAAAAAAAGTAGTTTAATAATTTTATTTTGTTTATAATATACCAAAAATATGAAATTACAACAAAATGCTTTCAAGTATTCGTTTGCCACCGTAAGAAATTGAAGAAAATCGGTCTTCAGTGCTTACGTCAGTTAGGCCGAACTGCATACCCTGCATATTTGGGCGAGCGACGTTCTCACGGCCGCCGCTTGGCTTTTGGCCGATCTTATTTCATGTGCAGACATCTCTATATGTATTTATTTTCTGTTTATCCTGAATGACTGACTGATAGGAAATGACTGACTGAATGACTGATTGAGTCACTAACCGATAGACTGATTGACTGACTTATTGACTAATTAACTGGTTAAATGAATGACTGATTGAGTGGATAACTGAATGTTTGATCGCCTGATTGATAGATTGACTGAAGGATCACTGATTAATTGTGTAATAAGTTGAATGATTGATGACCAACTAATTGACTGAATGACTAATTGGCTGGATGACTGAATGTGTAAGCGTCTGACTGATTGAAAGATTGACTGAATGATGGCTGATTAACTGTCTAATTGGCTGTCTGACCAAATGACTGACTAACTGGCCAGTTGATTGACTGATTGATGATAATTGCACTGCCCGATGCGAGCTAGGATACTTTAGCTATTTCAGGTGATTCAGGAGCACGGTAAGACGGGTTTTTGGTCAACCTGCTCGCCTGGCTATGTAGGTTACGCGTTGAGTTAAATTTTGAATTTATCCCATTCCATTCCCATTTTATAATCTCATTTAATTGTAATAAATCACAATCGTTCATACACTGATTGTTCGCCCAGCCCCGCGCTCTGCTCTGCCCCCCTCTAGTTTACTTGAGACTTGTTATCACCTCTCGGATCCATTCTGTTTGCAGTTGTGGACGATCTACGTATATAGAACGCTATGAGCAAATCGCATCGGGATCACAAAATCGTTATCATCGGCGCCGGAGCGTCGGGTGTTGCCTGCGCCACCAAGCTCCTGGAATATGGCTTCCAGAATGTGCTGATCGTTGAGGCCGAGTCGCGTCTGGGCGGTCGCATACATACGATACCCTTTGGCGAGAATGTGATCGATCTGGGCGCCCAATGGTGCCACGGCGAGCAGGATAACATTGTCTACGAGCTGGCCAGCCAGCACGATCTGCTCGAGTCCACGGGACCCGTCTACGAGAACTATCAGTGTGTGCGCAGCAATCGCGAAGTCTTGCCGGACAACGTCGCCAGCCGGCTGAAGGCGATTGTGGGTGACTCGCTGGTCACACGGCAGCTGGAGCTGCAGCACTGCAGCGGCTCGCTGGGCAGCTATCTGTCGAGCAAGTTCTACGAGATGCTGCGCCGGCCGGAGAATGCCGACATTGATCCGGTCGTTGCGGGCGAGTTCTTTGATAATTATCAGAAATTCGAGAACTCTGTGGAGGCATCCGACACCCTGGAGGAGGTGTCGGGGCGCGGATATCTAGACTATTGGGAGTGCGAGGGCGACATTCTGCTTAACTGGAAGGACAAGGGCTTTGTCGAGCTGTTGCGTCTGCTAACGCGCAGTCGCGAGCTGCAGACGAGCTCGGATCTGGGCATCCTCGAGCAGCGGGTGCTCTTCAATCGGCGCGTCACCAAAATCAATTGGAATCGCAATGATGCTCGGGTCGAGCTGCAGCTGAACAACGGTGAATCCTGCGTGGCAGATCATGTTATAGTCACCGTTTCGCTGGGCGTCCTTAAGGAGCAGCATTTGCAGCTGTTTGAGCCGCAGCTGCCGGTGGCCAAGCAACGTGCTATCCAGGGATTGGCCTTTGGCACCGTCAACAAGCTGTTTGTTGAGTTTCCGGCGGCCTTTTGGCCCGAGGATTGGACGGGCTTTACGCTGTTGTGGCGTCAGCAGGATCTGGCCGATATACGCAATACGCCGCTTGCCTGGCTGGAGGATGTCTTTGGCTTCTATCGCGTCAGCTATCAGCCACGCGTCCTCGCCGGCTGGATCATAAATGCCAATGGCCGGCACATGGAGTCACTGCAGCCGGCTGAGGTACTTGCCGGCTGCATGTATCTCTTCCGGCGCTTTCTACACTGGCACATACCAGAGCCGCTCGGCTTTCGCAGCTCCGCCTGGTACACAAATCCGTATTTCCGTGGCTCCTATTCCTTTCGCTCCATGGACACGGAACGCCTGGGCACCGGCGCCAGCGATCTGGCCCAGCCATTGACGGTGGTTGCCATGACGCCGCCTTCGCCGGGACGCAGCAAAATGCTGGTGCCGCCGCAGAGCCGCTGTGACAAGCCAATTGTCCAATTCGCCGGCGAGGCCAGCAGCGAACATTACTACTCAACGGTCCACGGTGCCGTGGAGGCCGGTTGGCGCGAGGCCAAGCGATTGGCGGACTTTTATGGCCTCAGCGTGGCGCCGGCCAAGTCGCAGCTATAACATCAGGAGTCGGCGCGAGCCTATTTTGTAAGTAATTGTGCAATGGATTATGGATAAAATGAAAAAAAAAAAAAATGACAAAAAAGCTCAGGTCTTCCTATGATCTGCTTACAATCAATCAATCAATCAATCCTGATTAGATATAAAAATATATAGCATAAAATGCTACTATTTACCATACATAAATCGTATGCCCATCATACCTATTTTGTCCTAACTGACCGCCTGATTAGTCAGGTCTTCCTAGGATCTGCTTACAATCAATCAATCAATAAATCAATTAATCCTGAGTAGAAATACAACTATATAGAATAGAATGCTAATTTGTCCTGTTTACCATACATAAATCTAATGTCCATCTAAATTCGAAACATTTTGACAGACCTTCTGTCTTCTTAGGTCCTGCTGACAATCAATCAATCAATCAATCATGATTATGTATAGCATAGACTGCTACTTTGTGCTATAAATCCTATATCCATGTAACTACGAAACCTTTTGTTCTAACTGAACCCCTGATTGACTGACTGATTGACTAGTTGGCTGATTGACTGATTTATTAATTGGAGATCAACGCAAAGCGCAGGCTATAAAGCTTCATTTTTCAAGTTAAGTTACAATTTAAGTTCAGAATAGCTAAAAATGGATTCACAATATATACTGACTGATTGACTGACTGGCTAGCTGTCTGATTGATTAATTTACTGATTGGCGATCAACGCAGCACTATGAAGCTACTTTTTGCACAGAAGTTACATTTAACGTTGAAATGAAGTATAAATTGACAGTACAACGACAAAGAAAACTGTGCTGACTGACTGATTGAGTGATTGAGGCCCATATAAATATAAATACGAGCTCTTTGCCCGACATGGCAATTAAATGTGATTATCCATATAAATGTATATACACATATGTATATATGTATATATATAAGCTGTTTGTTCTGACTGATTGATTGATTGTCTCTCTGTCTGTCTGACTGATTGATGAGCTGCATTTTCACTTCTTTATGTGGTATAATAGAGTGAAAAATAAGTGGAAAACGATTGCAAGGTTTTATGTTTTCGTCCGATTGGCACTGATTTTGGATATTTTAATGGTTGGCTATTTTTGTTTTTCATCTGATTGAATTGAATTAAATTTATACGCAAAGATCTATATCCTTTGAGACGTTTTTCTATAAGAATTGGAATTTTTTAAATTTCTGCCCCCCTAATAATCGTACGGATCTTCGTTTTGGGGATTGCTCGGAGCTGTGCTGAGTAGGCAAATAAATTCGAAATTTGAGTGAATTTGACAATTTCTCTACAGTTTTAGTTTTAGATAATTGAAAATTTTGTAAATTATTATATGGGAAGTGTAAGTACGGCCGATGGCAACTGGAGAAATTCATATTTAAACCCCAACTACCGCAGTGTTGTGCGAAAAAAACAAATCAAGGGCTTCACAATCGGTATCATGCATCCAAGAGAAAATCGCCCAAGAAACTTAGTCTGCCCCTGCACCAGGATCCCAAAATTCTGATATTGGGCGCCGGCGTTTCGGGACTCGCCTGCGCCGTCGAGCTGAAGAGGCACGGTTTCGAGAACGTGCGGATCGTGGAGATGTCCAATCGCATCGGCGGACGGATCAGAACGATGAAATTTGCCGACAACTATATCGATTTGGGTGCCCAGTGGGTCTATGGTCAGCAGGAGAATGTTGTATATCAAATGGTTAAGGAAATGAATATGTTGGAGCCGGCGGGCGACATGTTTCGGCACATGGATTGGATACGTTCCAGCGGACAGCGCATGTCGCGCTCTCTCGCCCGCAAGCTGGTGAATGTCCTCTCGTCCATCTATCGTTATAAGCGCTCGGAGCTGTTCGAACGCGAGGGCACCTTTGGTGAATATTTGGTGGAGAAGTTTGCCGAGGAGCTGTCAAAGCCCGGTTTGAAGAATCTCAATCGCGAACTGGCCGCCGAATTTTTGCGCACATTCAAGAAAATGGAGGGCAGCGCCGTGGACACAGACATGAGCGCCTCCGGCTACGAGACATACCGCACCTGTCACGGCGAAAATCACAATTTCCGCGAACGCGGGTAGGGCCGTAGGCAACCGTTAGGATTCAACCAACCCAACCCAACCTAAACCCTCGTTATCCCTTGCAGCTTCAAGCAGTTCCTGCGCGTGCTCCTTGGCGGCGATGAGATGAACGAACAGGGTTTGCTCAAGGATTGCATTGATCTCAATACACGCGTCATGCAAATCGATTGGGATCGTGCGGATGGTACCGTGCTGCTCTCCTGCGAGGATGACAAGAAATATATTGCGGATCATGTGGTTGTCACCGTATCGCTGGGCGTGCTCAAGCGTAATACCACATTCTTTCATCCGTATCTGCCGCAGGCCAAACGCAAGGCCATCAATTTTATGGGATTTGGCAGCGTGTGCAAGATTTTTGCCGAATTCGAGGAACAATTCTGGCAGGACAACTGGCGTGGCTTCAATGCCATGTGGCGCACCGAGGATATGAATCAGCCGCAGCTCGAATGGGTCTCGGACATATACGCCTTTCACGTCTATGCCTGTCAGCCCCGGGTGCTGCTTGGCTGGGCGGCGGGACCCAGCACGGAGGTGATCGAGACAATAGACGGCAAACTGTTGGCCCATGGGGTCGTGTATATGCTGAAGCGATTTCTGCCCCAGCTGAAGATACCGCATCCCAAGCGCGTGGTCAGCAGCAAATGGAGCATCGATCCGGCGCATTTGGGCGCCTACTCGTACCGCTCCCTGTTGACCAACAGCTATAAAACCGGGCCCGATCAGCTGGCCCAACCGGTCAATATGCTGGCCTATGAGCCGTGCGGTTCACGCATGTCCTGGGATCACATTATACCCATGTCGGTGCGACCAATTCTTCTGTTTGCCGGTGAGGCAACCAGCTCTACTCATTATTCCACCGTGCATGGCGCCGTGGAGACGGGCATGCGCGAGGCTCAACGTCTGACTGGGTACTACCAAAAGGATTTGTAATATTTTTCATTTGATTTTCTATTTTCAATATACATTTTTGGAAGTGTTCACTACTCTCTGATTATCTGCGGCTGGAAGTCCAGTTCGGCGGCCTTGCGCAACGATTCGGCGTACAGCGGCAGTCGCTGCGTCATGCGGAAGCCCCAGAAATCCTTGACCTGGCGACACAAATTTAGATCCAGCTCGGTTACCAGCAGACCGTCGCGGCAGCGGGATAAGCTCTACATGAAAACGAAGGACGTCGAATTAGACTGATAAAAAATAATTCGAAGACTTACCGGAGTTCTGGAGCCATCGGGCGCCGCCATATATGTGGAGCCATAGAAGGGTCCAAATTCCTTGTGCGCCGGCTGACCGTCGCCGGAGGTGTACTCATTGGGAAACTGCTCGCTGCCGACGCGATTGATGGGCACCGTAAAATAGCTATTGGCAATGGCCGCATTCCGCGCCTCAATACCCCACAATGGCTCCGAGAGACGTCCTATTGTGGCCGAGGGATTGAACACAATTTCCGCACCATTCACACCGAACATCATCCAGTTCTGCGGATGATGCCGGCCATAGCAAATATTAATCGCCAGTTTGCCAAATTCAGTCTCGAACACGGGATGCCCCGTATTGCCCTCCATGTAGTAGGTTGACTCATTGAAGTCGCCGACGCGTGGTATGTGATTCTTGCGATGCTTGCCCATGTAACGGCCGCTGTTCGAGATGACCACGGCCGTGTTCCAGATCGTTTCGCCATGCTCCACATCCCTTTCCAGTATTGAGTGTATAATTACCATGTTGTAGGCCTTGGCCAGCTCCGCCACCATTTTGGTTGTCGGACCACGTTCCGCCTCCTCGGCGAACTCACACCAGGGGAACTTCTCTCGCGTGCAGAACGCAAAGGGCATGGCTAAAGGGGAGGGGAAGACATAAATCATTAGTAAATGGTGTTTATGTTTATATATGAGGGATGGGGGAGCCCTGCATCGAGTCAGTCGGTAAATGTGATGAGATTTAAATTTATAGCTCGAACATGTTGCAACAAAGGTCGGAGATCAGCTCAACTTCTTCAGCAGCCGATACTCCGACAAATTGGTGCAGCATCCGAACGCGGCCGCAAGGGCCCTGGCTGAGCCCATCAGTGAGAGGCGCCTCCGAAGGCTACACCCCGACGACCTACCAACGAGGCACATCACTTAAACATCCCTTTCCCATTATTGTTATATATTTTTAAGTCTGTAATTATCATTTAAGTTATTAAATAATAACTATACACTATACCCTTAACTCCGCTTGGTAGAGATCAGAAGGCACTGATCGATTCCAGCGCAAAATAAACCAAATTAAAAAAAAAAAAAAAGAACATGTTGCTGGCTCGCTGTCGAACTTCTTCAACCATAACCATGAGCAATAGGTGTCTATGTTTATAACGTTAGAATTTCAGTCTAACATCGAGTCAATCGAAACGTGTATCCGTATCTAAAACTTTAACAAGCATTCGTTCGAGCGGTTCGAGATTCATATTTTCAGCTCAAACATGCGCAGATTGAGCTCGAACATGTTGCTGGCTCGAACAGTTCGAACAGCTCGAACTTCTCTTCTTGTTCACTCGAACACTGCGTTGTTCGATTAAATATCCGAGTTTGATGCTACTCACTCCATGCCTCTTGGGTGCACACGATGTTGCAGCCGGCCTGTGCCGCTGCCTTGATCATCAGCTTCACCTTGTTCCAAATGCCCTCGCGCTGCTGCTCAATGGGCGCCGTCGTTGGCAGCGCAATGGAGTTTTGGATGGCGCCCACACGCACCAGACGCGGCTTACGCAGCTGCTCCTCGCGTGCCCCAAAGCGATAGCCCTTGATCTCAAAGCCATTCTGCTCGGCGGTGAGTGTGGCGCTCGCTGGCAACTCCAGAGTTTGGCTAAGGGATGATTGCAAAGAGAGAATAAGAAAGAATGGAATGAGTGGAGCAGAGATAGTAGAATTAGGATACACAATTATCTAATAGTACCACCGATCGATACTATAGCTAGTCAATCAGACCAACTTTTGGTCTCTTTCTGTTCCAGTCTTCGAACTTGAAATATATATTCCATTAATGTAATATACATTCAACAGATATCTATTAGCTTTACGCTAAACACAAAAATTAGATATCTTTTAAATAAAGCACAATAAATGTATAATTTATACAGACAGCTTTGTAGCGCCAAATAATATAAACATTTCGAAGCGCAAGTAAATCATGCCAATCACTCTCAAACTGAGAATTCTTTTTCTCTCTCCATATATATATATATATATATATGTTCTAAATATAAATTTAATGTGTTTATTTGGTTTTTGATAGGGCGTGAATTTAACACATGTTATTACCACAAATTTTATTAGAGACTGTCCAAATAATTGACATAATTTTCGGCTTATCTGTGCAGCTGTTAAACTACATTGTATTGCTTATCTGGCAGTTAGCTGCTGACTGTAAAGCTCTGATTAGCATAGAGTTTCCATGTGTGTGTGTGTGTGTGTGTGTGTGTGTGTGTATATAGATATACTTACTCTTGCTCCACGCCATAAAGTATGCGCTTCACCTCTCTTAGCTCCTCCGCTGGCAAGTGCTTCTCCAGGCATTCATCCAGATTTTTCAGTTCAAATTTCGACATATTCTCCGGCGACAATTCAATTGACGTGTATTCAGAAAAGGGTCGGGTGGGAGGAGGTGTGGGGGCAGTGGCTGGTTTCTCTAGACAAGCGCTCGTCTCCGGGCAACAACCACTCGCGATTGGCGCACGATGCGGAATGTGCACGGCAAATGATCGCGGCACACGCCGCATTCGCAATCATTGCTGCTGCTGCTACTGTTACCCCCCTCTCCACTCAGCGCTCTACACCCACCGTTCTCCACTCACCCCTCTGCACTCTCCGCTCTGCACTCACCGCTCTCTCTTCGCTCTGTGCACGCTGCATTCGTAATCACCCGGTTGCTGCTGCTACTGTTACTTCCCTCTTCACGCTCCCTTCTCCACTCACTCCTCTCCACTCTCTCTTCGCTCTTCACTTTTCTCTTTAATCTCTGCTCTTGGCTGTCGCTCGCGCCGTTTGACCTTATCTCAATTGGCAATGACGCAGCTGCCGAGCATAACGCATGCGATGCCAACCGAGCAGCCGCCTCTTTAGCCCTCCAAAAGAGGCTGCTGTTTGGCTGTTTTATAGCTAAAAGAAAAAAATATAGCTATAAACTTGGGCGTTCCCCATAATAAGAAGCTTTTCCAATATATTCTCATATATTTTCTATGACTTCAATTTCTAAATTAAGGGAGCAGTTCATGGGGACCAGAAGACGAGTTTTTATGAATTATTATACCTTAAGAGTTTTCTTTATGTCAAAGTAGCTGGCCCTAAGAATCGCATAGATACATATGTTAACAAGAGAGCTCATATTAAAGAATTTATCTAGAAAAAACATGTTATGATCATAATGTACTTACCCTCTGTTACTTGTTAAGCATATAATTGGATAATTTATTTTGATTTACATATTTAGAGATGTAGAGATTTGCCTCCAACTATTTTGGTCTAGTTTGCTATTTTTTCAACATCTAGTTTGCTATTTATCAACAGAATTCTCTCAAATGCAAATATTATTTTGTGAGATCATAATTACTTATGCACATACAAATGTGGCGCATATGGAATTGCTTTTGCGAATATCACAGATTTTCAAGGTGACAAAAGCTCTTAATAATTCAAAATGCTACGAAAGATATAGATAAATGGATGTAATCAAAAAAGTAAAGTTGCTGGTTCGAATCCAATTTATTTCTTAATAATAAAAAACTACTAAAGATAAAGGCAGATTGATAGAAAAAAAAACAAGTTAAGATAACGGTTCAAATCAAATTCAAATTCATTTCGTAACAATTTAAAATTCTACTAAAGATATAGATTTTATAGAACAAAAAAGTAAAGTTGCTGGTTCGAATCCTCGCTGTAAACAGAAATGCCTTAAATTCTGTATAAGAATACACATAAAAGTCGAATTGTTGGAATTTGTAACACATTTATAATTTTCTCTTGGTTTGTTTATAAAATTTAAACATTTTAAATCTTTAATATATGGATTTGGTTTTGGACAATCGTTATTTGAGTTATATAATTGTTGTACAACAGAGTTTTTAATTTTGTTTTTGTGTGTTTTGCAATAATTTTGCTTAAATTTGGTTAAATGTTTGTTTAATTAGTTTTTATAATTTTTCCTTGCTTTGCTTTTCGTATTTGATTTTTATTGTATTCTTTTCATTGTTTTCACTTTTACGCAAAAAAGGTACATGTCGTGAAAAGGACTAACGCTGGACAGGAGCGTCCGGCAGGACCGCCTAGGGGTAAATAGTATTTCTCTATCTCTCTCTATATATACATATATCTATATATATGTGTATATCTCTCTCTCTCTTTCGCGCGTGTCTCTCTCTCTTTCTAACTAAATGCCGTGCAACATTGGCAATCAACTGTACAGTTTTTGTGTTTAATGTTGTCTCTGGGCCAAGAACAACAAGAAAATTAGTTGGCTAAATTCGTATGGCAAATACTTTGGTGTTGGTTCAACAAATTGCGAGGGGGCGTGGCATGGCGGGGGGTTGGTGCTAAAAATTTACTGCACCCACATGGAGGGCGCCCAAAGGGGCTCGTTCTCCAGCCGCTGAACATGCTGGACCAGTTGCTCGAAGGCATTCACCAGCTCCCCGTTAACGATCTCGACATCGAAAAAGTGGCCATAGATAAAGTCGATGCGTTCCGCCGATTTGACCATATCCTCGAACTCCTCGTCCGTAAAGCTGCGCGCATTGGCCTCGTCGAAGGTGGACTTGGCGCGCGCCTCCGTTCGCGTCGCCTTCAACACGGCCAGCTCCGGCGGCTTGATGTGTATGAGGAATGGCTTCAGCTGTGCCGTGCGCAGCGTCTTGATCGCCTGATAATGCGGACTCAGCACACAGACACAGCCCGCATTCACAATCGATTTGACGCTCTCCGCGGAGGTGCCGTACAGATGGCCCTTGTACTCGCCGTGCTCCAC